ACCTTGCAGTTCATACCGACCTAGCAGTCCAGTGCCTTAACCCACAGTGTCACAACAGGATTGTTGTTGTTGTTAAGTGCCATTGAGTTGGTTCCAACTCACAGCGACCCTGTACAGGGTTTTCGAGGAACAGTTGGTGAGCTTGAACTACCGACCTTGCAGTTCAAACCGACCTTGTCATCCAGTGCCTTAACCCACAGTGTCACACCAGAATTAGAGGGAAGTAAATCTTTCACACAGCTGATCTTTGGTACACAGAACACGTATGCTATATGTGTATTTTCTCCCGAGCTACCACACACTCATATCATATCCTGGGTCACACAGATTGAATCCCTACAATTTAAACATATTTTTAACTTTGAAGAAAAAAAAAATTACATGTTAGGGAATTGAAAAAAGAAATAATATTTAGCCTTTGTCAGAACTTTTCTCTTATGCCTTGTCCTCACAATGCATAAATCTCAGAAAGAGCAGGGACAGAACAATTTTACAGTTTAGTATTATTAATCTCTACACAATGTACACAATGCAACCTTTACTCTTTCTTTCTCTCCTCTTTTTTTTTGATGTTTCTTTTTTACTTTACCTTCCCAAGAGTTCCACCTTTGTAACTGTTAGAGAAAACTCCTCAGGGCCTTCAGGGAGCTCATCATCAAGTATTTCAATCTGCATATGTTTCACATTCTCCCTTGGTTCAAAGAGGAGCTCCCCAGCTGCAGGAGTAAAATCTAAGCCAGCCTGGGCAGTTCCACTCACAGTCTCATAGCAGAGTCGCACAAAGCCAAAAGATCCACCCAAACGGATGATTGTCACATTAACCTATGGGAGAGGTATTTGATTTGGATGTTTAATCTATTTCACAAAACTTCATTCTTATTGTTTCCAATTAGTGATTCTATATAGGAAAATCATGTTTAAAATTATACTGAAATACAAGTAATGATGTTAGAAGCAAACTAATGGGTATGAAAAGTTTTGAACAGGAACAAAAAACACACTTTATTGATCATTCAATATAAAAACACAACAGATATTTAAGACTTCACTCTATACCCCTTGAGCATCTTCTGACACTCGCAGCTGCTCCTGTGAAAAGCTGAATCGGCCATAGGGAAAGTCGTTGGCCACCATTGTGATACTAGCAGTTCTGCTGGATTCGCTCAGTCTTCCTCCCTCACTGATTCCAGTAAGCTGAAACTCAAAGAAACACTTTTCCTCAGGAATGTCATCATTCAAAGCCTAGAGAAGGGCAAAAAGAGCCATTAACAATATACTCTGTAAAATTTAAAGAAACACAGACATTATATGAAAAGCAACAAAAACCTGTAATATCAACTACTCTACCCAATCCCAACACATACATGCAAAGTAAAAGACATAATAGAAACGAGTAGTGTTGATACCTGTATTAATACAATGGCTGCAGACTGACCATCTTGCATTGTCAGTTTTCCAGAAGTTTCCACAAATTCCTCTTCTGAAGGAGGAAATATTTTCCAGGACACAGTGACTTCCCCTAAAAGCCCTGGGCCACGAACAAGGCTACAACACACAAAGGTTTACTTAATATATTTTTACTGAAGTAACCATTCCTAAATCTGTGTTGTCTTTCAACAATAAACAATTTTTATTAATATCACAAATATTGTGCTGTTCAATAATATCGTCTATCACTGGAAGATAAGCTGCATGGCTAACCACAAGGTCAGCAGTGCAGTTCAAACCCACCAAAACTGCTCATTGGAAACCCTACACAGGGTTTCTATGAGTCGGAACCAACTCAACGGCACTTAATAACAAAAACATCAACTATAAAGGAACGCAGCGGCTCTACACAGTAAACATTGGATTGCAAACCACAGGGCCGACCCTATATAGGGCTTCCAAGGAGACTACCAGCTGCTCCGTGAAAGAAAGATGAGGCTTTCTGCTCCCTGGAAGATTTACAGCCTCAGAAACCTTATACAGGGTCACTATGAGTCAGAACAGATTCAACGGGGCTTAACAGCAACATCAACTATAAACCAAAAGAAAATATTATAATTCCAAGATATGTTGTGGTTGTTAAGTACCGTCCAGTTGTTATACCCAAAGTACTAAGCTAATATAAATCTATCTTGACAAGAATACTAGCAAAAGTTGAATACTAGAAATGGAAAGTTCAAAAGAATAAAGAGAAGTATTCATAGATTTTTTTGTACAAAATATAAATTGTCTAAGAAAGTTCTCTAACGATAGTAAACACTTTATATATGCAAAGGGTAACAGAAAAACTGTGAAAAAGATAAAGCATTAAGTTAAATTCAGCAGCTTCATTGATAGTTACTACTCATGAGAACACTGTAGCAGCCATATTTGTTTATAATCAAACTACTTACATGACCGACTAACTTTATAACACTAAAATCATAAAATGCCTCATCTAGATAACTTTGTACAGAATGGTTTTGTAGCTAACACATACAAGCTTTACATAGATAAAGTAACTCTCTTGTTTTACATATTTAGTAACAGAATGGGATATGAAGCATAGATCTGAACGTGACTCAATGTGCTTTGTTCTGAAAATGCTGCACAAATGATCTAAAAATAAAAATAAAAATAGTCAGCAACCTCCTAATGTTCTAACTTCATGGTAAGCTAATTGCCTTATAGTCAAATCTAACTCATGGAAACCCCATGTGTGTTGAGTAGAACTGTGCTCCATACAGTTTTCAGTGGCTTATTTTTCAGAAGTAGATTACCATGCCTTTCTTGCAAGGTGTTTCTGGATGGACTCAAACCTCCAACTTTTTGGTTAGCAGCTGAACACATTATTAACCTTTTGCACCACCCAGTGACTCCAACTTTAAGACATAACAAGATTCAATGTTTGTCATTTATTCTATTTTCCACAGCATGTTATTAACATAGAAAATGATACTGCATGAAGTATCATGTATTTAAGGCATAAAAAACGCTAATTATCTTTTTTTTTTTTTAATTCTGTAATCGCTACCTGTTGTTGTTGTTAAGTGCCATCAAGTTTGTTCTGACTCATAGCAACTCTGTATAGAAATTCCAAAGTTCAACTTGAACCACTGACCTCACAGTTCAAACCGATCTTGCAGTCCAGTGCATTAACCCACAGCACCACACTTAGGACCCCTACCTAAGTAAATAAAAATGACAAAGCTCTTACCTGATTATAGCAGTGCCGTTATATTTTGTTGAGGGTTCCCCAATGAGGACATGCCTAGATGATGGAGCTATTCCAACTTCACTTGAAACTCCTTTGTCTCCCCGAATGATTATTGATGCATGTCCTAAAATTAAGATGATGTACACTGCTCATGTAACAAATTCAGATATGCATTTATAAATCCCATGCAATGTTCTAAATGCTTTAATTACACTAACATATTGAATCCCTCATTTATACCTAATCATAAATTAGATACTAACATTATCACCAGACAAATCTGCTGCACAAGACCTTTTTAAAGTGTTGAAGAGCAAAGAAGTCAGCTTGAGGACTAAGGTGCGACTGATCCAAGACATGGTATTTTCAATAGCCCATATGCATGCAAAAGCTTGACAGTGAATAAGGAAGACCGTAGAAGAATCGATGCCTTTGAGTTATGGTGTTAGCGGAGAATATTGAATGTGCCATGGGTTGCCAAAAGAACAAACAGATCTGTGTTGGAAGAAGTGCAGCCAGAGTGCTCCTTAGAGGCGAAGATGGAGAAACTTCGTCTCTTATATTTTAGACATCTTGTCAGGAGGGACCAATCACTGGAGAAGGGTATCATGTTTGGTAAGGTGGAGGGTCAGAGAAAAAGAGGAAGACCCCCCAATGAGATGGATTGGCCAAGTGGCAGCATCAATGGACTCAAGCATGGCAACAGTAGTGAGGTTGGCCCAGGATGAGGCAGTGTTTCGTTCTGCTATGCATAAGGTCACTATGATTCAGTACTGACTCAATGGCACCTAACAACAACAACAACATTATCACCATTTTACTGATAAGAAAATTGAGGTACTGAATACACCGAGCCAAATAACTTGCCCAAGGTCACTTTTGACTAATGCTTCAACAAAGGAACAAGTGAATCAATGTAGCCATTGATTCTATTATCATGTTGTGAATTGCATCCTTCAAAAATATGTGTGTAGTGGTGCTGTCCATTACTCGTCTGTCAGTTTCTCATACTGTAGTAGCTTGTGGGTTGCTGTGATATGCCACTGGTATTTGAATACCAATAGGGTCACCCTCAGTGGATAGATTTCAGCTAAGCTTCCAGGTGAAAACAGATTAGGTAGGAGAGATGGACTGCTTCCAATTATCTAGTCATTGAAAACCTTATGAATAGCAGTGGAACACTGTAAGCAACAGAACATTAAATATTGAAACATGATGAAAAACATCAGAATATTGTCATATATAGTGTCGGAAGATGAGACCCTCAGGTTGGAAATCACTCAAATGCGACAGGAGAAGAGCTGTCTCTTCAAAGTAGAGTTGACCGTGATGACACGAACGGAGTCAAGCATTTGGGACCTTCATTTACTGATGAAGTACAACTCAAAATACAGGGAAACAACTGTAAATATCCATTAATAATCAGAACAATGGATTGTACAAAGTATGAATCTAGGAAAATTGGAAATTGTCAAAAATTAAATGGAACACATAAACATTAGCGGGCCTGAAATGGACTGGTATTAGCAAATTTGAATCAGACAACCACATATCTTACTATGCAGGGAATGTCAAATTGAAGGGAATGGCATCCCATTCATCATCAAAGAAAACGTATCAAGATCTGTCTTAAAGCATACAGCTGTCTGTGATAAGGAAAATATCCATATGTCTACAGGGAAGACCGGAGTCCTAGTGTGGCACTCTGAGTTAATGTGCTGGGCTGCAAGTCAGCTTGAACAATGAGGTTGGAGGTTCAAGCTCACCAGTCGCTCCTTGGAAATCCTAGATAGGGTCGCTATGGGTCAGAACTGACTCGACAGCACTTAACAACAACAAACAGGGAAGACCAGTCAAAATCACTATTATTCAAATTTGTGCAATGACCACTAAAGCCAGTGATGATGACACTGAATTCTCCCAAATTCTTTAGTCTTAAATTGATCAAACATGCAATCAAACTGTATTGATAATTATTGGTGACTGGAATGCAAATGTTGGAAACAAAGGGAAGGATCAGTGGTTGGAAAATATGGCCTTGGTAATAGAAACAATGCTGGAGATCTCATGATAGAATTTTGTAAGACCAATGAATTGTTCATTTTAAATGCCGTTTGTTTTTTGGGTTTTGTTTTGTGTTTCTTTCGTGTTTTATTGTGAATTATGTTTTTGTTTACATGGGAGAACATTAGCTTTACATTCATCCTATAGTATATCTCTTCATTGCCATGGTTACAATCCCCTCCATCATGCATCATCAATCAAACACAGGGTATACCATGCAAGCCTACACCCCTGG